GCGATCTGTCCTTCTATTGTTCTCCCCTCGACCGAGAGCACTTGTTGACAGATCGAGGTTGTGGCGATTGAGAGCACCCACAGAATTTTCTATTCGGAGATACTTTTCAGTGAGGTCGTAGAAACGAGTGAGGGAAACGTCACCCTCTGACTGTAGCTCTTTCCATAAGTCAGTTTGGGGGCGAACCCCTACGATAAGGACGGACTCTTCAGAAGTGTGAGTCACTTTGTGGAGTTCGCAGTGAAACCTGTCTATATAAGATTGGAGGGACTCATCCTTTTCCTGCCGTATATTACTCAGATAGCTCAACGGCATTGAGAACTTCATGTTTGCCTAGAAGTGCCTTAAGAATAACGAGCTCATTTGTTGCCATGAGCTTATTGTCCCTGTGGGGAGCAACCTAGACCAGCGCTTGGCATGGGCGGTTAATGTCACTACTAAGCAGCGGCATTTGGCCAAGTCGGAGACTTGGTGGAGTTCCATAAGGTCATTGAACTCGTAGAGGTGGTCCTACAGATCAGAATTTTTGTCAAACGCCTATATGTCAGGCATCCTGAATCTGGACGGGAGAGGAGCAGCTAGTACTACATGAGAGGTAGGGGACGCTTCAGCGACTTTACCCCATTCGTTCTGCTAAGCCTTGAGCTTATGTAATTGTCGCTACAACTCCTCGATCTAAGATAGCAGAGCTATCGAAGGATTACTTTTCGCAACGTGGGTTCCACCCTCACGGTTGCAATTGAGGAAAGACCGAAGGTCGGGCCCTTCCACTACTCGGTCGGAAGCTCCGGCACGACCTCACACATGTTGGCTTGAGCCGTGTGAGGGTAGCGAATAGCTCGGGGAATTTTCCTGACCCCTGCAGTTGTCAGAACTGACCCACGGACGTTGGGGGTTCCGCCGATGGCGGTGGTCGGAACCATTAACTTGAGGAGGCCAAGAGTTCCCCCGGCTTGCACTTTTATGGGTGTGCCCATACGACGTGGCGTGGGATGGCTCAGACTACGACATGTCACCAAGTCGTAATGCCATGGGTATTCTACCTACTGCGCAACCTGTGTTCACTGGCCCTTCGGAGCCTTCTAGTTCACCGGTCGCCACTTGTTTCCCCTTACTTTTATGGCACCACCTTGTTAGATCTGGTGGCATGACCTAGTCCAAACGGTTCAGCCTTCGGCTATGAAAAATTCAGCATGCATGAAGAGTGGTGGAGATGGAGAATGAAAGCATGAAAGCATGGATTAAAAAAACGGTTTACATGCAAAGCTTGGATATGAGATTATACCTACTCCTTTGCTTTGGATTGATGAAGATTAGCTTCAAAAGGATGAAACCTCCACACTTTAACACCACCTTGAGAGGATTAGAGAGTGGCCTTGGCTAGGGAGAGAGAGCTTTTAGTTTGTGTTTGAGTGAACAAGTGAATAATGAACAAAAATGCAACCTTTTGCACTTATATATACTTGGGCTATTTTGCAATTATTTATTTTTCACTTCCAAGCCCAATAAAATCTTATTTTATAAAGGGACCCCACGAATTTAATATGCTACCCTTTGAATAATCAATATTATTCAAGGGCCCATGTAAACTAAACTAGTTTACATTAACAACCCATAAATTTACCCTTTTTACCCTTTAACTATTAAAAGGTTATTTTTGTTCATCTCATTAATCTTAACACTTTAAGATATAATAATTAAATATAATTAATTATTGCTTGACCATTTTAACCCTTAAAATGTCACAAATTGTTTTCTATGTAACTATTACTATAGAAATCCCGTTATTACCCTCGGAAGGTGCTAGCCCTCTTCGGATAATCATTTCTCTCTCTCATCATTCTCTAACTTCTCAAGGCTATTGGTGTGACCATGTAGGTCCACCGTGGATTAGCCGTGAGCCGGTTCTGGATGAATCCGGAAACCCGTCCGGAGGCCCAACGACTATGGTAAACATCTAGCAATGTGCCATAGTCCCTAAACCACGATGAAGAAATACTTCATCGAACCCATTTCAGATCATACGTACCATGCAGGTAAAGTCCCTCCATTGAGATATCCTAATCGAGTATGGATTCATGGAACGTCAAAATCCTAAACTCGATCTTCTACCGAATTGTCGATCAATATGTCCGGAACTTGTCATCACAAACTTACTTTTGTATGACTAATAATAGACTCTGGCCAGAGATTCAGTTTTCCGACATTTATCGATGTTCGTCTAGGAACTCGAATCCGGATGGAGTCAGCGGTACTCCCGATCCTATATTTCCGAGTCAATGGATCCCCTCTTGACCATCGTTCGTTTCCGCATATGAACAACGCATGACCAAATAGGCTTTATTGTACGAAACATGATTAGTCTCGTACTTATACACCGTATGAACCATACGCATCCATATCGGATCCGACTACAATGTCTCAGGTCAAAGGACTACATCGTGCACTGATATAACCAAACGATAAATCATTGACTACATGCTTTTCCAAGTGATTTGTCGTTATTCGGTCACGTTCGAAAAACAGTTCACCAACCGTTAATCCATACCAATGCCCTAGTGACATGACTATCATCGTCATCCGTACTTATATCAACTCATGATATCTTTCGGAAGCATCCGGTATGCCTACTGTACAATATAGTTGCCCAAATTTATATTGCTTCTGCAGGGAACCTTTTTCGATAATTCATTTACCTATTAAATGAATCATCTGGACAATTCATATACATACTTTATTTTAAATGCATGACTGAATAAAGGAAGCAATTTACATATATGAATTGAAGAACTCTTTCTTTTATTATTTATGATATATATAGATACAAGACAAAATACTCTGAAACCGACAACACGAATGGTTTCTAGGGCATACACTAATATACACTAACAGGCTAACCGTTTGGAGAGTATTGTTGAACCTTTCCAGGTAATTCATTATGGTTGGGTCGAGTTGTGAGCTCGAAGGAATATCTACCATGATACTCTGTTGGGCTAGCTGCACTTCAGGAGAAGTGTCATTCTGTACCTGAGGAACTTCCTCGTTGTTGACATTGGGTCGCTCAGTTTTGAAACCGTGAGCCATTGGCTGGTGGACGGAATTGGTCAGAAGTTTCTGATGAAGAGCGGGTACTAAATCACGCCCTCCTTCTAGCACCAAACTGTTGATGCTTGCTTTTGACACCAACTATTCACACTTGCAAAGTGCTAAGTGGACTAAGAAATTACACGTGATGAATTCAAGAGATTTGAAGGTGATACCGAAACGTAAATAAAAGATTGCAAGAGGAGCTTTTATAATGGTTCGGATGCTCAAAAGCGAATCCTACGTCCACTGTGATTATATTAATAGGGGATTACAGTCAGGTCACAGTCAGCGAGCTGAGTTACAATAGCGAGAATGAATGGGTAGAGGCAAAGAGAGAGAGTTTTAGATGGTGAATGTGCCAATCCTATAAAAAAAAAAAAAAAAAAACACCCACCCCAAAAGCTTAAGCAAAAAGCAAGCTATATAAAACCATTTCAAATCCAAAATCACTTTCCTAATCCTTCTTTTAACTTTTCTTCTTTACTAATTCTTATAACTTGTCTTTTCTTTACTTATGATTAAAAAAACAACAAAATAAACAAAGAATAGTTATTTAATTAGTTTTATTATTTATTAATTTAAAACATATATATTATAAATTAATAAATAAACAAAATGCTCATAATGATACCACGGGTCTCCTTTGTTAGATTCGTTCAGCACAAAATAGTTTTTAGTGCAGCAGTGGTGAAATAATACAGAGCCGCTTCCAAACGTGGGTTAATTTTTAATGCCTCCCCAATTTTTAATTTTTAATAAGAGAGAGTTATTATTTGCAGTAGCTAGCATCCGATGAAGACATAATAAAGAACTTCGACAGTTTCAGTTTTATTCATTATCTTGCATCAGCATCTGTACATTAATTAATCAGCAACTTGTTTTGGTCAATATACTATGGCGATTGTTAAATAGTTGACGTTGATTTATTTGAAAGAAAATGGAAGCTCAACTGCTCATTAAAGAATTTGATAGAGGACTGGTCAGTTTTGTGATTTTGTCATAAGAAAACAACTTTAATACAGAGCAGCTTCCAAACGTTAGGTATTTTGTAGAGATTGCGAGAGTTATAAACGCAAGAGAGTCAACACGGCTGCCATCTTTGAAGTTGAGTGATTAAGAGGCCGGCATTCCCTGAATTTGGTCAAAGTTGATTAAGAGGCCGACAAAACACGCCTGCCATCTTTGAAGGCGAGTGATTATTTATAAAAAAAAAACACCAACTTTGAAACTCATGAAACAGATGATGCAGCAAAGTAATAACGAGTTCGCAATTTTTAATTTTGAATAAGAGAGAGTTACTATTTGCAGTAGCTAGCATCCGATGAAGACATAATAAATAAAGTTTTGTGATTTTGTCATAAGAAAACAACTTTAAAAATTCTATTAAAATAAAAAAAATTACTTGACCAAATACGTGCTTTGGGTTGTTGTGCGAATTTACGTGCTGTAGAATCTTTCACCTATACAAAGATAAAGATGGAAGCTATATATAAAGCGAATTTCCATTTCCCCTGTATGCATGGAAAATGATAGAATCACCAAAAATTACACACGAATCTATGCATCGAATAATGTGACAAAATCTTAACCGTTGATTGATATTAACTTATAATGAATCAATGGTCAGAATTACATCACATCATTCGACGCACGAATTCGTTGCACATCCTTCGGTAATTGTAGCATTACTCTTTATGCATAACATAAACTATATCGTTAGGTATTTTGTGGAGATTGCGAGAGTTATAAACGCAACAGAATCAACGAAAAACAAAAATATAGGGTTTGGTTTTTACTAGAATCAGAAAACTGACTGGCCTTGCTTTGTTTATGATTGCAGAGCTAACATGAAATTAACACTCTCTGCAGAGGAGGGTACGTTTATTCTCTCTCACATGCCTTTTTTTTTTTTTTTCAGTTTCTTTAATAGTGTATTCTGATTATGTCCTTTCTTTGTTTCAAAATTGTTGCTTCTTGCTAGGGTTCTCAGGTTGAGTTTTGGGTTCTTTTATAAACTGTCACATTTTGGGTTTATTTGTTTCAAAATCTAGTGTAGTATTTCCCAATGTTCTCCACCATAAGCAAAGCTATCACCCAGCAAAACCTATTATCATCAGCAGAAAAAACTGCCAATAGTGATGACATTTTGACTGAAATATTCCTTTGCCTCCCACTCAAATCCTTGGTTACATTCAGATATGTATCAAAACATTGGCTTTCTCTCATCTCCCACCCCAACTTTTCACTCCGCTTACACCTTAAACCTAGACCCATCTCTGGCCTCATTTTGCGTTCAAAATCCAGCCCTAAAAATCCTAAATATGACTTGATTAATCTTAATTCCGATCCCTTTGTTGCGCCCTTTAGATCTTTCTCCCTTCCACCAAGTTTGGTTGTCCTGCAATCTTGTAATGGTCTATTGTTATGTGGCAGTCCCAAATGGTGCAACCCTACCTGCAACTGTTACATTATCAATCCCATTACTAAGAAATACACCGAACTTCCGGGGGCTTTCAGAACCGCCCGTGGATCTTTTAGAGCCATTTTAGGAATTAACTTGGCATTTGATCCTTCAATCTCATCATATTACAAAGTCATTTGTGTAACTGCCCTTGGGGGCCACTGTCAGATACAGATTTACTCATCAAAAACAGGGGATTGGACTCCATCTACTGGTAAATTCTGGGCAAAATGTGGTATGACATTTAAGGATGGTGTTTTTTGGAATGGTGGCATTCATTGGATTAGTTCTGAAAGAACTTCTTTATATTTCAATGTTAACGAAGAGAAACTACAAGAAATGCCAATGCCTTGTATTCGTGATAGATCCTCTGAGAGGAGGTTTATGTACTTTGGAGAGTCTCGGGGTCATTTGCATCTCATTGAGATTTATAGTCTACGCGATGTTATATTTGATGTTTATGAAATGGAAAGAGACTACTCTGGGTGGGTTATGAAGTATCATGTTGATCTCAGAGAAGTTGCAATCGCATTTCCAGAGATGGTGAGAAGTTATATTGGTCTAGGGAACTATTATGAGAAGTATTCAATACTGTGTGTTGTAAGGGAAGAGAAGGATGAAGATTCGTACATGGTGATACACGTACCTAAGAAGGCAATACGTTACAATTTCAAGGATAGAACTTTCAAGAAGCTTCATGATTTTGAGCCAGGTTTTGATGATACAATACAACATAACTGTTTTAGTGCTTTTCAGTACACTGAGAGTCTCGCTCATGTTTGATAATGTTTCTGTTCAAGTTCGCTCAGGGAATTGTGGTCTTCAATTACATCATTTATGAGTAATTACAAATGCTGCAATCATATCTATTATACCAACATATAGAATAAACCAAACAGAAATTTATAATTTCTTTTACTAAATTTATTATATCTAATTTCTTACTCCTGTTTGTATTTATTAACTCTCATTTTATTTGAATTTCCTTTTAGCCCGTCCGTAGGCCATAAATATTCGCCAAAATTTTATTTTAGATATCCCAACACTTAAGGGTGCATTTGGCAGGACTGAATATTTCGTAATGTATAATTAATTATTTTAATACAAATATAATTACGTAAAATATTTTAAATTATTGAATTATTAAAAAAAATTATAATAAATATCTCAACAAAAATTTTGAAAATTAAAAAAAAAAGTTACACTAAGATTTTTTAAGTATTATAAAATAATTTTTTAATGAAAATTGCTTTTTAAAAAAATAAAACAATGAATGTGACAAGTAGTTCTGACTTCTGAGTATACCCGTGGGGGCTTCTTTGAGTCTAATAAACCGCCAAATTGCGCTCAAACATGAAAGTATGAAACATGTGACAGAAAAAAAGAAAAAAAAAAAAAAGAATAACTGTAGTAGAACTGTTCACCCGCTTGATGTAATCCAGTACACCCTAAAGAATTATTAATCGTTACTTATTCGTCTCCAGTGTAACGATTCATATCTGATGACTGTCAATGATCAGAGTGCTCATAACCAAGCCTGGTAATGAAGATTACTGAATCTAGAGTCAATATCTCAGGAATCATTGTGGCTTGAGATTAGGTTTTTTGTCTAGTATGGTGAAACCAGTTAGTAAAAGTAGTTATATTTTCCGAATTACGTCCCTTATTGTATGTCTGTGTTGTTCATTTGTTCATTTATTGTGTTTCTGATTATATCCAAACCATGTTGTTGAATCTTTGTGTAGGGTTCTTCGTCGATTTCTGCGCACACCAATTGCTTGATAAATTGCGCGCATAGCTTTCTCCGACCGTGCTTTCCTCAAAAGGAACCATAACTGAATCCAGCATACTTATCACCACCTCCTCAGCAGAAACAATTGCAAACAATGATCATCTTTTTACGGAACTACTTGTTTGCCTCCCAATCAAATCTTTGATCTCATTTATGTCTGTTTCCAAACATTGGCCGTCCCTCATCTCCAATCCCAATTTCTCCCTCCGCCTAAACCCTGTCCCCAGACCCATCATTGTCCTCTTTACCTCGTGCCGCAACACTCCAGGATATCATTTAATCAATCTTGGTTCCAGTCCTCCTTCCCTCTTTGAATTTCTCTCTATTGGAAACTACCCACTCGTCACCGTTTTTAAGCAATCTTGCTATGGTCTATTATTGGGCCGCTGTTTGCTAGTAACAGATAAGTCTAGTTGCCAATTCTCTGGGTATTATGTTTACAACCCCACTACACAGCAATACACTAGGATTCCTGGACTCGTTGTTGATGGTTGCAGATTGTCTTCTTTGAGTTTTTAACTTAGCATTTGATCCTTCAAAGTCACCTCATTACCGCGTCATTTGCGTAAGATATTTGTGAGAATTTAGTAGAACACAGTAATCAGATAGAGATTTGCATTTACTCATCAAAAACTGGGATTTGGAGGCTATCTGGTGGTACATTCATTACTCGACATCTTAAATTCTGGGGTGGGGTTTTCTGGAGTGGTGCCATTCATTGGATTAATGCTTGGGACACATCTTTTATATTTCAACATCGATAAAGAGAAAATAGGAAAAGTTCCACTGCCTGTTATGCCCGATGGATGGGGATGGCATGAGAGGAACACCTCGTATTCCAGAGAGTCTTGAGGACATTTTCATCTTATTAAATCCTATTATAGTCTGTGTAATGTCTATGAAATGGAAAAAGACTGCTCCGGGTGGTTCATGAAGATCTTCGTTCAGTTGTAACTCCATTCCCTGAGATGATGAGGAGCTGTGCTGATCAAGGAAGCTTGATTAACCCTAAAATTTGACTATTATGTGTTGTAAGGGAAGAAAATGACGAAGACTTTTATTTGGTGTTGCACTTAGCTATGAAGGTAATACGATATAATTTCTAAGGGTAAGACTTTCAAAAAGATCCATGATTTCGCTCCAAGTGAGTATGAAATTAAAGCTGGAAGTGGAAACGTAGTTGCATTAGATTTTGGAGGGATTGATGCTATTCAACACATAGAGAATCTTGCTTGTGTTTGATGACGTTTCTGTTCAAGGTACGGTTTTGTGTGATTAAAGGATTTATTACTCTTCTTTTTTTAATTTCAGGTATTTAAATTTAACATTTATCTTTGTAGTGGATAACAATTTAAAATGTTTATGTTCAATTTGAATTATGATGTGCACTTGTTACAGTTATAGTTGTTCAATTGAAAAGGAGGAAAAGATATCAGGTTGGTTTCTTATAAGATTCTTGAGGACATTGTTTTGTCCATCTTCGGATTTATTGTATGTGAGTTGCTACAAGATTTTTGCCCAGAAATGTTTGTTCATCCTACGGTACTATCCTGTGTTGCACTTGGGAAGCAACATCTTAACCTAATCTACAAAACTTAAATAAGGCATATAAGCCGCATGATTATCATTTCCTGTCTTACAGAAGGTAGAAGTTGCCATGAGAAATGAATGTTTCCTTGTAAGTTATAAGGCAGACGGAACATTTGTGAAATATTGCTCTTGGAAAATCTTTTGAACCCAAACATCGTGAAATTGAATAAGACTGACAAAAGACGCCAATTTTATCTTTTTTGAAACTCATTAAAGAAATAATGCTTCAAAGTGATGAGTTCGCAATATTCTTATTGGAAATAAGAGATCATCAATATTCGCAGTGTAATCTGGTGTTGGGTTTCTTCGGCCCGAAGCCAGATTTAAGAACTTTATTCTGTGTCTTGCCTCCATAAATGTCATCATGATCCGTCTATTCAGCAGTTTGTTTATTTTTAACTTGCTCAATACACCATGGCATATTTAAGAGTTTTGAAAATACAGCTCATTCTGTATCTTGCTCTACTCTATTGGCATTGTCACCTCTCTATATTCAACAGTGGGTTCATTTTTTTACTTGGTCACTACGTTTTTCTTATAGGTGACCCTTATCGGAAAAATGTAGAATATTGACAGCTCTGAGACTGTAATGATTTGGTAGAGGAGGATTGTTCATTTTTTTATAAAAGTAAACAGTTTTAAGGAATCATATTAAACTGCAAATTTGGAGAAAATAGGAAAGTAAAAAAGAAACGTTGACCAAAGACTAGCTTCAGTTTTTCTGTGAACTTTCTTTCTGCCCAATCTTTCTGTTTGTTTGACACTCCCAAGTGAAGAACCTAGCTATAAGAATCGTTTCCAGTTCTTCAGAAAAGATAGCCAGGCTGAAGTAGAACGTAAAGTCTAACTCTGAATTCGCCTCTTTATGCGCGGCCTTAGCTGTAAAGAATATTATTTCGTCAATCTTAGCTCTAGTCCTTCCCCCGCTACCTTTAAATATCTCACTTTTGGTAACAACCCATCGGATTTCGAGATCACCATCTGGCAATCTTGCAATGGTCTGTTATTATGTAGCAGGTCTAATCGCAAAAAACCCGATGACCACTATGTTTACAACCCCACCACACAGGAATACACTATGCTTCCTCCACCCCCTCTTGGTACTGGAGTCTGTTATTTTGGTTTTAATTTAGCATTTGATCCTTCAAAATCACCCCATTACACAATCATTTGTGTGAAAAATTGTAATGATTTTGAAGATGACAGTTATCAGATAGAGATTTTCTCATCGAAAACGCGGACATGGAGACCATCAAGAGCTACTTTCATTCTTTCATGTTATGCAAGTTTCATGGATGTTGTCTATTGGAACGGTTCCATTCACTGGATTAATGAGCAGGGCCCGTCTTTACATTTCAACATTGATACAGAGGAAGTACAAGAAATGCCCGTGCCTCCAATTCCTGATGAACAATACTGGAGGAGTTTTTATTACTTTGGAGTTTCTCGAGACCATTTGAATCTTATTGAGAATTATGCTCCCTTTGCTGCTCTATTTAATGTTTATGAAATGAAGAATGATTACTCTGGGTGGTTCATAAAGTATCGCGTTGACCTTCGTCAAGCTGCAACAACATTTCCTGAGATGATTAGGAGCCATGTTGATGCAGAGCACATTCAATACTATAAAATTTCGACAATATGTGTAGTAAGGGAAGAAAATGAAGAGGAATCATATTTGATGGTGGACATACCTGCGAAGGTAATACGTTACAATTTCAACGATAAGAGTTTCAAGAAGATTTATGATTTGAATTTGAATTTGAGAGTCCTTTTGATGAAGGTTATATAACTGGAGTCGAATTTGCATGAATCGATACTTTTAAACACATAGAAAGTCTTGCATGTGTTTGATGATATTTCTGTTCATAAGTCTGCTACTCTCAGGTCTTAAATTTCAATATATATGTTCATGATGATGAATAATACAGATTATTATTTTGACTCAATTCTTCTAGTTCAATTAGAAAGCAGTTTGCTTTGATTCGCTTAGTTCCTTGGCTTGCAACTTCTAGTTGAGCAGTTTAAATTTCAATTACAGAACAGGTCCAGCTAATAAACATCAAGTTGGTTTCTCGAATGCTGTGTTCATCTTCAATATTTTATTGGATGTGTGATGGTGATATTAGGACGTATGGTTTTCCTGTATGCTGTCACAATGATAGCCTACACATCTCTAAATATTGTCATTGCTTATGTGGGAACATTGCATAATATTTTTATTGTGATTCTAAAAACCCTATTGAATCCCAGCAGTCTTTTGAACTACATAAAACGCTGAGTCGGATACCTTGAAGGTCATTAAACAAATTAATAATGTTGCTAAGCAAAATTTGCAATTAGTATTGTTTTAAGTTTTAATACCACAATCTGACTGACTATTCGAAATTCCTAAACAGAACATTAACAACCATTTTGCACCCCAACATTATTTGAGTTGGTTGGTATTGCCTGCGGGATTCCCACATGGGGATAGCTTCTCTAATCTCTAATGGCATTATGATCTAACTATGGCATATCTTTTTTTTCTGGTATTGGTTAATATGTTCAATTTGATTCATGATGCACTTCTTATGGCATAGAGGAAGCATTTTAACCTAGTCTACAACACTTAAATAAGGCATATAAACCTCAGGAATATCGTTTCTTGTTACTGAAGGCAGAAGTTGTCATGAGAAATTAATGTTTGAAAAACACTTTTGAAACAAGATTATGCTTCAAAGTAGTGAGTTTCTTTGCAATATTGTTATTTTAAATAAGAGCATCAATATTTGCTGCGGCATCTGGTGATGGGTTTCCTGCCATATTTAAGAATTTTATTTTGTATCTTGCCTCTAATTATATTCTATAAGCTCTATTGTACAAAGCTTTTATAAGCCATGAGTTCTTTTTCGAGAAGCCCTACCAAATATGGTATAATATATTGCCTCTATATATAACTATGTGACTGTTTTAAAATATAAATTTTAACTATTATATAGTATAATATATTGAAAAGTTTGGATTGTATATTCAAGTAGAGATCAGTAATGATACAATAATTTTTTTTTTTTTTTATTTTAACCTCATCGATGGTAAATTAAGTTTAAAAACTAAATATTCAAACAAATTAGGAAATAATCAAAAAGTAAATTTAATTATTTGCCCAAAAAAAAAATTTGAGTAATAAAACTATAAATGTTATAAAATTTGTACAATGAACTATAAATAATTATTTAAAATAAACTAGATAAAAAGAATAAGAAATATGAATTCAATTATTTTTAACAAAATAAATTATAATTAAAATATATATTATAATAACAAAATCCATTACACTTTTACACAGCTAATTCTGAATGTTGCTTCTCTAATGCGGCTAATGCCATTCAACTTTTACTTGGTCGCTACGTTTTTGTAAGAGGTAAGGTAACCCTGATCAGAAAAAAGTAGAATATTGACACTTGACAGCTGAAATGATTTGGTAGAGGAGGATTGTTCGGTTTTATATATGAATCTCGACAAAATATAAAAGAAAACGTTGACCAAAGATTCGCTTTCCGTTGTTTTGTGAAATTTCTTGCTGCCCAAACTTTCTGACACGCCCAGGTGAAGAACAAAGCCATAAGAATCTTTTCCACTCTTCCACAAATGAAAACCAGGCTGAAGTTGTACAACATAACCTCTGAATTCGGCTACTCTTTTTCCACCATGAAAACAAGCTCAGTCTCAACTATCACCACCTCCTTCTCTTCCCAACACCAAGCATCAATGTCAGCAGAAATCATTGCAAACAATGATGATCTTTTAACGGAAATACTTCTTTGCCTTCCACTCAAATCTTTGGTGAAATTCAAATCTGTATCCAAACACTGGCTGTCCCTCATCTCCAATCCCAACTTTTCACTCCGCTTCAGCCTTATCCCTCAACCCATCACTGGCCTCTTTATGCGCGGCCTTAGCTGTAAAGAATATTATTTCATCAATTTTAGCTCTAGTCCTTCTCCTGCTCCCTTTAAATATCTCACTTTTGGTAATAACCCATCAGATTTCGAGATCACCATCAGGCAATCTTGCAATGGTCTATTATTATGTAGCAGGTCTAATAGCAAAAAACCCGATGACCATTATGTTTACAACCCCAGCACTCAGGAGTACACTATGCTTCCTCCACCCCCTCTTGATACTGGAGTCTGTTATTTTGGTTTTAATTTAGCATTTGATCCTTTAAAATCACCCCATTACACAATCATTTGTGTGAAAAATTGTAATAATTTTGAAGATGACAGTTATCAGATAGATATTTTCTCATCGAAAACGCGGACATGGAGACTATCAAGAGCTACTTTCATTGTTTCATATTATGCAAGTTTCACGGATGGTGTCTATTGGAACGGTTTCATTCACTGGATTAATGAGCAGGGCCCGTCTTTACATTTCAACATTGATAAAGAGGAAGTACAAGAAATGCCCGTGCCTCCTATTCCTGATGGACAATACTGGAGGAGTTTTTATTACTTGGGAGTTTCTCGAGACCATTTGCATCTTATTGAGAATTATGCTCCCTGTGCTGCTCTGTTTAATGTTTATGAAATGGAGAATGATTACTCTGGGTGGTTCATAAAGTATCGCGTTGACCTTCGTCAAGCTGCAACAACATTTCCTGAGATGATTAGGAGCCATATTAATCCAGAGCACATTCAACACTATAAAATTTCGACAATATGTGTTGTAAGGGAAGAAAATGAGGAGGAATCTTATTTGGTAGTGCACATACCTGGAAAGGTAGTACGTTACAATTTCAACGATAAGAGTTTCAAGAAGATTTATGATTTTGTTGAAAATGAAATTGAATGTGAGAGTCCTTTTGGTGAAGCTTATGTAACTGCAGTCGAATTTGCACGAATCCGTGCTTTTCAACACAGAGAAAGTCTTGCTTATGTTTAATGATGTTGCTGCTCATAAGTCTGCTACTCTTACCTAGTGAATTCAGATCTAGAATTTCAATATATATGTTCATGATGATGAATAATGCAGATTTTTATTTATGACTCAATTCTTATTAAACATCAAGTAGGTTTCTCAGAATGTTGTGTTCATCTTCAAAATTTATTTGATGTGTGATAGGAACGGATAGAAAATAGGCTAGGTAGTGGGCTTTTGATAATAATTGGGTTGGACAATAGGTCTTTCATGGCTTGGGTTCTCTTTGAAAAATTGACTTACCAAGCCTTTATCAAGCCTTTACAAACCCCATGTGGGATCCTAATAATGTGTCATTGTAATATTAGGACGATTGGTTTAATCAATAGTGCTGCTGTCAAAATGATAGCCTACACATCCCTAAATATTGTCATTGCTTCTGTGGGAGCATTTTGCAAAATATTTTTACCGTAATTGTAAAAGCCCTATTGAATCCCAGCTGTCTCTTCGGATTTGAAATACATAAAAACGTTTCCTTATGAAAATAGTTGGATACCTTGAAGCTCATTACACAAATCATATTGTTGCTGAGCAAAATTTGCAATTAATTATTGTTTTAACACCAACACTCTTAACTCACTACACGAAATTCCTAAACAGATCAAATGTAACAAGTAAAATAAGGGATTTATCATTTTGACTTCCATTTTGCACCCCAACATTATTTGAGCCGGTTGGTATTGCCAGCGGGATTCCCACACAGCGTGTCTTTTTTTCTTGTATTGGTTAATAATTAAAAATGTTTATGTTCAATACGAGTCATGTTGTGCGGTCAATCCGGAAAAGATAATTCCCTATTAAGAGAGAAGATGTTTAAATTTACTCAATTTGGAAGGAAGATATTCAGATTGACTTAAACTCCAACTAAGATAGCCGAAGATCATGCAACTTCCTAATTCTACTTATTTGAATCTTATCTCAACTCTATCATGTAAATGGGTGCTATATAAACTCATCATAACTTGTTTTCAGGAGGGGTGGGCAATTGTTCTAAGCAAATTTTCCTAGAAATTATACTGTTCTTTGTAAGCTCTCAAAAGCAATAAGATAACAGTAGACGTAGGCTGAAGTTCTAACTTGCCGAACCACTTTAAAAATTGTCTTGTGTTCTTGTTTATGATTCTTTCTTTTTTGTTCATTGCTAATTTTCATTAAATCACACGTAAGATTTTGAGGGCATTGTTCTGTTGCAAAAAATCTAAGTGTGGCAATTTGTCGAACACTTGGAGTAGGAAAGTTAACCAAGAATCTTAAGGTTAGAACAATTATGTCCTAACCTAAATGATTATAAAATATTAACAATATAAAAAGTAACGATCAAAACAAACAAAACAAATCGACACAGTGACATACATGATTCGGCTAAATGACTTACATCAACGAGCGATAATGATGGTTTAATGATTTGACTATATGAAGAATATGACACTTTGTCACTTATAATAGTCAACTATACAATTTTTCACTCAATCTCAAGCCAAATTCAATGTTTGAGGCTTATCCATCCAAGTCTTCCAAGAGCACAAACCCTAATCTCTCCACATATAAGCTCTCAAAGTCAGTCTACACTTTAAACTATACTTATTGATAAAGACGTAAAGTGTTTACTTCTCTCTAAAATTAAACCTTTGTTGCTTCTTTCCTTTGTCCCAAAAAAAGAGTTAGCCAATTTTAATTCTTTTTTTCTTTTAACCTTCTCCTCATAATTTCTTTTTCATATTTTAAGAACCAAAGAGTTACACGCTCCAATCTTACAATTCCTAAGTACTTTTAATTTATTTAATATTTTTTAAAATTTTAACAATTGGTTATTGATGTATGATGAAAATAAGAACGATGAATTGTTGATAAAATTCATAAGTGTTCGAATAATAACCGCAATGGATATATTGTAGTTTTCTCACCATATGCTCAATAATGCTTTCCAGTTTCTACAAACAGAACCCTAGCTGATTCTACTAAATCTATAGCCTCCTCTTCTTCTCACCAATACCAATCAACATTATCATCCGAAAAAAACACTAGCAATAATGACCTTCTAATTGAAATATTTGTTTGCCTCCATATCAAACATCCAAACACTGCCTTCCTCTCATCTGCAACCCCAACTTCTCCCTCCGCCCAAACCTTATTCCTAGACCCACCTCTGCCCTCATTTTGCTTTTAAAACATAGTCCCAAAAATTTGCGTCAAAAAGGACCAAGAACAGATACTAAATATCAGTTGATTAATCATAATTCCAATCCCTCTCATGTGCTCTTCAAGAGTCTCACGTTTGCACCAGGGACCATTGTCCTACAATCTTGTAATGGTCTATTGTTATGTGGCCATTTTAATTGGCACAACCCTAATCACCCCTGTTTCATTTTCAATCCCATTACCAAGCGACACACTAAGTTTCCTCACATCATTGGAAGTTCTACAACTTCGATTTTGGTATTAACTTGGTATTTGATCCTTTAAAGTCACCTCATTACAAAGTCATTTGTGTCAGAAGTTGAGATTCTTTGGTTGAGGGCCATTATCAAATAGAGTTCTACTCATCAGAAAGAAATGGATTGGCACGGTGCCCTTCATTGGATATTAATTTTCTTGGTGCTTCTTTCTGTTTCAACGTTGGTGAAGAGACACTACAGAAAATGCCAATGCCTCACTTTCCTGATGGATTTATTTTGAGGAAATTCTTCTACTTTGGAGAGTCTCGGGGTCATTTGCATCTGATTAAGGTTTATTGTCCATGTACTATGTTTAATGTTCATGAGATGCTGAGAGATTATTCTGGGTGGTTTGTGAAGTATCATGTTGATCTCAGAGAGGTTGTAACCGCTTATCCTGAGATGGCTATAAGCAATTGTTATTCAACGGACTTGTATAATTATCGGTATTCTATACTATGTGTTGCAAGGGAAGAGAATGATGAGGACTCGTATATGGTGCTGCATGTTCCAAGTAAAGCAGTATGTAAACTTTCAAGGAGCTTCGTGATTTTTCTCCTGCCATTGTTTGTAGCAGGACTAAGTTTCATAATGTATTAGAATTTTGAACTAAGGCTAACTTACATAATTTATTAGAACGAAAATCTGGATGGTTTGATGCTTTTCAATACACACAGAGTATCGTATGTGTTTGATAATGTTTCTATTCACATTAGTTCTAGGCATTACGGTGTAGAGGTTTTCAGGCCATGAATTTCAGTATGTATTTATAATGGTGGTAATTATAAATGTAATAGACAGTTTGAATCATGCTTAATTTCTTTTAGTTGATAAACTTAGCCGGAAATGTATAGACAGGTTTTAGGCCGGAATTTCAAGGCATTAGATGTTTGATTGTTTTAAAACCCTACCCTTTAAGGCCACGAGTCCAGGGTTGCCCGGTCCGACCAGTTAAATTGGTGGTCTCCAGTGATGCAAAAAGTTTAAAATCTTGCAAACACACACCCCTAAAAATTACGTCAGTCTCTATAAGTTTGAAAATACACCCCTGCGATCTGTTTGCGTTTTGACTTTTTTGGCCAAAATCTAGCTGATTCAGGTGGCCAAAACTCAATTCAACACCACCACCTGAACCACCATTCTCCATTCTACAAAACCCTTCTAACCCCGAAACTTGGTAGGCTCTCGTTCAACGGTCATGACTCGTGTATAATGTCGTGATTAGGTTGATTTGTCTAACCAAATTCCAACTGATTCCAGTATCCAAAATTCAATCAAACATTGTCATCTAAACCACCAATCTCTACTCTACAAAACCCCTCTAACCCAGGAACTTGGTAGCCCCTGTTCGCCGACCATGACTCTCATATTGGGTTAAATTTTCCGATCAAATTCTGGCGTCCAAAATTCAATCCGACACTATCCCTTGAACCAACGGCCTCCACTCTACGAAAACTCTCTAACCCCGGCATTTGATAGCCCCTCGTTCGCCAACTATCAGATTAGGGATTTGGTAAATAGTGAAAAATGATAACCCGAACTGGAGTGGCTGTTGGGTACTAGTTGAACCGGCCTGATCTCTATTTTAAAACAATTAGAAGGTCTCACTGCGACTAATCTTTAACCATAAAGCATGAGCATCGGCATTGCAGAATATTCTGGACCCCTACTCATCTCAATGTTTGAACAAAAGAATGACAAAAGACCCCAACCCCAATTCCATCACTGAAGTTAATTTTTAAACTTCACTGCAACATAAAAAACACAGCCTTTAGAAATTTTGCAGCCCTCGACTTCCCTTATTTTACTTGGTGTTCTTGGAATTTTTAAGCATACCAAGTGTTAGATAAATCGTTGAAGAACCAGAACAAACTCAAGCAAATATTGATCATCTTGTGATAGAAATACTTGTTTGCCTTCTAATCAAATCCTTGCTGTTGCTGAAATTCAAATCTGTACCAAACATTAGCTTTCCCTCATCTCCGAGACTCCAACCCTAACTTTTTTTACTCCGCCTAAACCT